ACTGCCATATCAAAACCATATTTTGACACCAATGGATTTATTCGACTTTGCAACAAATAATATACATGGAGTAAATTACATTAATGAATACAATAATATGGAAAATCATCTAGAAAGCAATTTTTGAGAGCAAAAAGAATTCCGGGAACACAAAAATACCATGCTTATATTCCCCTTGATGAAAATAAAATTAAAGTCAAAATTTATACCAATTCTTTAGATAATTTAATATATGATATATTGTAAACATAATTATGAATTATTATATTATATGTAATTATGCATTTCAGAAAAATAAAGTTATAAATTGGTTTAGAATTATTTTGTCAAGTAATTTTCAGTCACAACATGTTAACAATTAAAAATAAAAAAAAGTTAGGGCCTATCATTTAGACATAATTTAAAAAAAAACATTATTTCATAAGTATTCATTAAATGAAGATATTTTTGATCAATTTAAGCCATATAAAGAGTCATAACTCCTAGACCCTTTTTTATCCCAGGCTAGGATTTGGCACAAATATAAAGCAGTGTTATATCTATCTACGGAAAAAAAATTAAAAAAAAAAAAATACCTTTTTTTTTCTATGGCCATTTCCGGTTTTATACATCCGGTTTTGGACATTCATCAAATTTATATCATATTTATTTTTATGTCATATTAAAGAACTATTATTAAGCTACATAATAAAATTTAAATTATTTTTCTAACTTAATTATTTCTCGAGATATTTGAAAATAAATGAGGCACATTTTGTCAAAAATGTACTATTTTTCCGCGCTTTAAACGCCCATATCTTAGCGAGTAAACCTTGTTGGGAGGTAAAATTTCATTTTTTTCTTAGTTATAGTTTATACTACCATTATGCAAAATTTAAGAAAAATTGAAGAGGGTCGGGTTGAGAATCGACTTTTTTGGTTGATTTGATATGGAATTCACCATATATATTTTAATGTAATCTTCAATCTTTGTGGTAAACTATATAAATAAAAAATATATTACCAAAATACGAAAATTAAAATTCATATCCTGATTCAAGATATAACGGAGGATCTAGAACTAAAAAAAATATCAAATTTTTTATAATCGGTCGATAGCATAAAAATTAGTAAATATACTTATGTCATCTTTGGAAAATGTGATACCAAAACAAGATGGGTTGGTTACGGTGAAATTTAAAACGATTATCCTAGCTTAATAAGATGGTTTATTCGTATATTTTTAAAATCTCTCCACTCACTTTTTCTAGAAAAAAAAGATTCTGAGATTATTTTATGAAAATAGATATTTAAGGGAATGAGTTTTATTTTATTATTAATATAAAAGAAATGAAAGCAAATTTTCGTCTAGATATTAATATAAAGGTTTTATGAATGTGAAAAATTTGAACTAATCATTTTTTTATGGGGGTTATCTTAACCTTAAACCTTCCACCCTTGTCTTCGCCACTAGCAATTGTACACATTTAAATTTAGCATTCGATTCAAACATTGAATTATAATTTAATACATTTAATTGAATTCTCTTTGCTTCTATAAAGAGTATATTTTTCTTTCTTTTTTCAAGTGGCGAATCATCATAGACTTGAACTTAAAAAGACCGATAGGAATCGTTAAAAAACATAATAAAAATTGGCCCCTTTAGTAATGATTTGCTCATAATTTTTATAAAACAATTTTTAATAAATTTATTTTTATGGTCGAATTACTCTAAAAATAACCTCTTGTTTATATAAAAAAAAGTAAAATAATTTCATTCGTGTAAATATTGTTAACATATGCATTTTTTTAAGGGGAAAGCAAGAAGGCTCTTCATAGTCGTAAGGAAGATACTTATTTTAAAGGGGCAGAATATTTTTGCTCAGTAGCCCCTACCTTTTTGAGCGACGGAAGCCCCCCTTTCCCCTTAAAAAATGCCCGCCTCCACAAAACAGTTTCCCTAACCTCAATTATATATTTTAAAAATATATGCTTTCAATGAATCGAAAAATTAATTAGCATTTTAGAAATTTTAAACGCAACGCCTAGAATTTTTATAACAATATAGTAAAAAAAGTTTTTAAAAATTAATAAAAATTTTTGGCGAGTCTGCATTAGGCCGGTTTTTCCTTTTTTTTTGGACGGGCGTGGTGGGTTCTCTAAAATATTTACATTGGGCGAGTGGGGCATAAAAAAACATTTTTAAGTGATAGGTGGGCATGGGCGGGAGAATCTTAATTATTTTTCAGTGGAAATAAGCGGAACAGACTTTTATTTATTAAATAATAGTTTAAAAACATTAAAATAAAGGAATAAAGAGCCAAACCAGCCTTAAAATAACATTAGGCGGGCGAGTTTAAAAAATTACAAACAACGAGTGGGTGGGCTTTTTGGTTAAAAACTCGGCCATTGCAGACCTCTGGCTCAGCCCCTCCCCAAAATTTGGAAAGGAGGCTAAAAAATTAAAAATGAAGTTAGAGGAGAAGAGAATATATTTTATAGAGTAACATTTTTACAGAAAACAATTATAGGGAAGGCATTTATAGAGAATTATTTTTTAGCGAATGTAGTTTATATAAAAGATTTTAAGAAAATGTTTTATAAGAATAACGTTTGTAGAAAATGACGTTTATGGATATTTATTTTATAGAGAATGTCTTTTATAGAGAATGATTTTAAAGAGGATGATTATACAGTGAATGTCATTTATAGAGAATGATGTTTATAGAGAATGTCGTTTATAGAGAATGATGTTTGAGGGTGATTATACAGCGAATCTTATTTATAGAGAATGATTATAAAATAGAATTATTTTATGAGAATAATTTTATTGTTTATAAATATTTACCCACAGGGACCCAAAGCAAAAATATTTTTGCGTTCCTGTTTCGGTAAAAAAAAAATGTTCCATTTCTGTTCGTTCTACGTTTCGGAACACGTTAAAATATCAAATTTTATTCCTTATTCTTACTATATAGTTCAATTATTACAACTAAGCATTCATTAATCTCTAAAGATTCATTTTAATGTGTGTGGCAATTTTGATATAAATTCGAGTGTGGAAAAGCGTCTACCTATAACCATACAGTAATACAACAGAAAGGGGTTATATCAATAATACCTTGCATAATTTAATAATAATTTTATATATATGTTAGCGTCAATGTGTTATTTTTTAAATAATTTATTAAGCGCGTTTTTTTAAATTTAAAAATCTGATTAAACCAGAAATATATTCCAACATGTTTATAATACCTATCTTATGAATTGTAGACAATTTTACATTATAACTTTGAGTCATTCTAAATTTATATAATAAATCTATGGGCAAAAATAAATATTAATTATATTAAGGGATAATTTAATAATAACTTTATATATATGTTAGCGTCAAAGTGTTATTTTTCCAACTTTAAATAATTTTTTAAACGGATATTTTTAAATTTAAAAATCAGATTTTACCAGAAATATATTCCAACATGTTTAGAATACCTATCTTATGAATTGTAAACAATTTTTTCGTATAACTTTGAGTCATAAATTTATAATAAATCTATGGCAAAAATAAATATTAATTATATTAAGGGATAATTTAATAATAACTTTATATATATGTTAGCGTCAAAGTGTTATTTTTCCAACTTTAAATAATTTTTTAAGCGGATATTTTTAAATTTGAAAATCTGATTTTACCAGAAATATATTCCAACATGTTTAGAATACCTATCTTATGAATTGTAAACAATTTTTTCGTATAACTTTGAGTCATAAATTTATATAATAAATCTATGGCAAAAATAAATATTAATTATATTAAGGGATAATTTAATAATAACTTTATATATATGTTAGCGTCAATGTGTTTTTCCTGGCAATGTATTATTCTTCCAACTTAAAATAATTTTTTAAGCGGGTATTTTTAAATTTAAAAATCTGATTTTACCAGATTTAGAGTACCTATCTTATGAATTGTAGACAATTTTTTCGTATAATTTTGAGTCATTTTAAATTTATATAATAAATCTATGGCAAAAAATGAATATTAATTAAATTAAGTTCAAAGGTTCATAGCAAAATTGCCTTAAATTCGTAGGTTAGGTATTCCAAACATGATAGGATACATTTCCGGTAAAATCAAATTTTAAAATATTTAGAAAAGTGCTCAGAAATGATTTAAAGTTCAAGAAATAGCACACGGGAAAAATACATTGACATATATAAATAGTTTTAAAAATAATAAACGGTAACTTGCGGATTGAATATTATTAAATTATAATAAGTTTGGTATTACTATTATTTAGGATTATTCCTATATCTCTAAAACAATAATTAATGTGTTTCTTAATATAAATCTTCAATTTAGATAAGCTAAGCTAACATTGCATTAAATTATTTTTATACTTTTACTTATTTATGTCTTTTATATGTTCTTACATTGTGTTAAAAATAATAGTAAGTTTTATGTTAAATTATATGATTAATTTTTTAAAAAAAAAATCATATAAAAACCAGAATGAAACGAAAAAAACCGCTATAAATTATAAACCGGAAAAACAGATATGAAATCCTTCATAAAAACAGGAATGGAACAAAACCTTTATAAAATTTAAAACTAAAAAACCGAACCGCTATAATTAACGGTTCGAAGCCCTGAAACAGAGAACCCCAATTTAAATGTTCGATTTAAAAAAAAAAAGATATTGTAATATCGTATGGATTTTATTTATGCGCCAATTTCCGAATGGTGGAAACGTCCATCCTTCGCTATGCCTATGGTTTTGCTTTTAATAAATGATTTTATCCGCGTAAAAGATAGAAATTCGATAACTCATATTGGCCGATTTATGATTACGTTTTAATAAATAGGTATATCTTAATTAAAATTAAAATGTCTCGTCATTCGTAATATCCTCCTGACTAAACAATCAGTTATATACAGTTATAAATAAAAAAATATGAATGTGATACGCGATATATTAATTTATAATTTGTTGTATTAAATTTAGGTTTGTTTATATATATATAAAAGTGAGCTATAATTTACTATAAAAAAAATTGAGCGATTGTTGTTAAAATTAAGGCAGCACCGTGTTGATCCATCCAAATTTCCTTTCTAAGTTATGAGTTATTCCCCAATTACTCGCACGTGAACATTAAAAAAATGGCGCCCATCCTATATACATTTGGCAAAGTAAGTTTTCGTCGGTTGTTTGTCTTATCAAGTAGTCTACCTGTATATAAATATAAATAATTAAGGCTGTGTCCTAAATGTTTTGAAAATAAAATCTCAAATTATATAAATTTTCTCAAATTAAAAATTATGAAACATGTCCGAAATCTCAAAAAAACGGAAAAAAAACAAAAAAAATAACCATGAAAACAAGAAAACGAGAATAAAATACGAAAAATAATATACTTTAATATTACTTACAAGTTATTTCATAAAATTACCCAAACAAATCAATTTTTAAAAATATTTTATTCAAATATTAATTTCAATTATTTATTTAGGACACTATTTTATTTTTACATTAAAAATAGTTATGATATTTTTCTTCCTTAAAAATTAATAAATTTATTTTATTTATATATTATTTAGATTTAAGACACAGCCTAAACTAAAATAAAAATATCTAATGAAATCAATAAATGTTTATAAATTTAGAATCACGTGTTTTAATATTGGATCAATCTTGATCATTCGTATTTTTAAGAATATCGGATATCGGCAGATATCGTTTAAATTGGCTCCCGAATTAATATATCAAAATGGCTGATAAAAAAAAATAGAATATTCTACCTCCACTTTTTGTAATTTTAGAGAGCAATTTATAAAAAAATTAAGTTTCTAATATTTTTTTAACATAGGATTTAATTTGAGGTATTTTATAAATATTTAGGATATTTTGTATAATTATATAAAAAAAGTGATTTATGTTTAAAAAAAAGTCATTTTTGACAAAAAGTGGATATAGAATAATCTAATTCTCAGGTGACGATATGTTAATATTATTCTGATTTAAATTATTTTTTATAAAATGGTATAATTATCCCTCTTTTAACAATGGAATAGCTCATTTCACTTTATAATATTATTTATTTAGTTTTATTTTATTTTATTTTTTTTATAATTTATGTATCAAATTTATGCTATAATATCTTACCTGTCCAGCGATAGACAATGGCAGGCCTACTGACTCCGTTACTAAGATAGTAGAACTAGAATTGCAATCTTCTTTGTTGCCATTTGAGTCAATTCCCAAATTACCATTCAAGTGTTTATTTCGTTTACCATTATTTTCGGGTTTATTCGAATCGTTTTGATTATTCCGGTAATCCACGTGACCTGTCAGCCTTAGCTCTATGTTATTGACATGAATTCGAGCCTGAATATTGTAAGTCTCGATATCGTGTCGTTGCTTAATTAAACTTTTATCGCACGCGACTTGACTCGGTTGCAAATGTAAACGATTGCGGGACGGAACACGTTCCGATTTAAAACTGTTGTTACAACCACTCCATTCGAGGAGCGGGTCGTGAATGAAAGGCTTTAAAACGCTCATGAGTAAATCCTTTTGGTTTCTCATTACCTATTAAAACAATATTTAATAATCTCATGTAAGTATTTTGTAATTTGCCATCTCATATTATTATAATTAAAAAGTAAAGTATATAAATAATTATTTTTTGTCACAAATATCATTTTTCAAAATATTAACTAGTTTTTTTTCTAAAACATAGTGCTCTTCTTATTCTATCTAAAAAAACAAGAGGTTTGTCAAATAGTCTAGTGGTTAACCGTCAAACTCTACTCTATTTTAGCCAATGCCTTTGTTGGCCTAAATCTCCCTCTTCCCTTTATAACTTGAATCTTCGATAACTTTTGATTTCGTCAAATTGATATCATGGGTTTAAAATAGGAAGCTTTATTTTTATAACTTATAACACCCATTAAAAAAGTTTTCATTTTCATTACATGTTGCATAAGTCATCTTTTCTAACACATTTCATCCTCTATTACATGTTACCAACTTACATTAACCCCTAGTGTGTTTGAAAGCCCCACCTTGGCACATATGAAACATAAAATGGGCTAATAAATGTGGTTTATACTATTTATTTATAGGGTTTACTGATTCAAATACCATTCGTTCAAAAATTAACCATCCAATGTTCATTAAATAGGAAATTATAAAAATAGCACCTTTCCAATTTATCGAATATTATACTCAAAATGTGAATATTCAAAAAATTTTTTACCATGAGAGTAACTTCGCAAGCTTGCCTAAATATACCTTCGTATCCGAGTGGTCCCATGGCATCGACCATGTTGTGGGTTAATCTGAACTCTACTTTTTCGGGGTATTCAAAGGTAAGGCCTAATAAATAAAGAATATAGCTGGTTTGGGTTGTATATTGAATAAAAAAACAATGGTTCTTATTTTCTACTTTTCAAAAATTTGTTTATTCAAACGATTCTAGGCAATAAATAAGGAAAAACCTTTATTGAATAGACAATTAAAATCGACGTGAAGAACTTCGCCTGAAATCTTATCGATGAGTATATTTTCGCCATGTCTGTCGCCCAGTCCTAATATATAACCTACCATGCTCATGACTGCTAATGTTCGAGAATACGACAATTTGGCCAGGTACCTGATAAAGGAAATTGAATCGTATCAAACAAAAAAATATTAAATATATTATAACTAGGTTCAGTGTTGCAAATCGGCAGTAATGAAAAAATTGATAACCCAAGAGGAGCGAGCTAAAATCTCTAAGCTGAGGTAAATATTCCTATTGAAAAATTCGGTTTCGCATTTTTTTATGCTAAAACCAGTTTATAAAGCAAATTAGCCGCATTAGCGCAGTCAAGTCAACAGATGTGCAGTAAATTTAGAATTTTAAAGAGCCCAACGAATATAAGCAAGATAATCAACTTAAAGTCTTTGTTAAAAAATTATGAATAAAAGTATGGTTCACAAATTATCACGTTTTCCGAGATGATAAATAAAAATGGTTGTTATTATTAAGATGTAGGAAAATTATCGAAATATATTTAATCTAGAAAAAAAATTTTTTTAAACCATTATATTGAATAATAAGCAGGTCATAAAAAAATTTACTTTGTTTAACTGCTTTATATTTAATATATAAATTATATAAAATCATATTTTAGTTATAATTTTTTGTAAATTAAAAATTAATTATTTAAATAAATTTTATCACCCCGGGCTGGGCCGGACAGGAATTTTATTAAAAGGGTAAAAAAAAAATTTTTAAATAATCCGAGCGACTTTAAATTATGGAAATTATATGGAATTTTTATAACCAATAAGCAGAGGATAAAAGTTTTAAATTTAAATTTTTGTAAAAGACATTTTGCAGTTATAATATTTTTGGCTTGCCATCAACATATGCTTTCGAACGGTTGGTATGGGCATTAGACTTAATCGCACTCATCTAAACTTTTAATTTGATGAGTAGTGTGGGTGGAATTTGAACCATAACTATCAGAACCGCATCTAAAATTTCCAGGAACCAAAATCAGATTTTTTTAACCATAAACACTGATTATGTCTATAATAATCGGGCAAGACACTATACCACTAAAATATAAGATTGGTAAAGAAAATATCGATAAATGAAAAATAACCATGAAGTAGGATCCGAAAACGAACGAGTAAACCATTCGTGGAAGATGGGAGGGGAGAAAAACGGTAAGAGTTTTTTCTTGTAAACATTTAATTTTTTTTCCAAGGGTGAATTAGCAGGCAGGCGGTGTTCGATCATCTCTTTGCTACTCATCACCTTTCCGTTCTCCTTTAAAAAATATATAGTAAATATTTGTAATTGGAAAATATTAAATTAAACATAATCTGAATGTATCGAATCTAACCACAGAATCAACAATTCATTAAACAACACAATATCATATTTATTAAGGCTTTAAAATAAAGAGCAGTTATAAAATATTATAAGTTATGTCTTTTTAGAGTCACGTACGGCTAACATATCATCGTTTGATTATTTTGTGTTCTCGAGGTCGAGATGTACTTTTGTTTAAACCTAATAAATCATCATTACTCAAGATGACACTTTATTTTTAAATAAAAATGGATCAGATGTTTTATCTGATATCTTTAAAAATGCAAATGAAGCAAAGATAGTATTATACAACCAAATAAATCAACATTTTTCCAGATGACACTTTTTTTTAAAAAAAATTTTCTTAACTTAAATTTTTTAAATATACATGGGCCTTGCTGGGTCTAAATTTAAATACCGGTGCCGGGCATTGTAAAACCGAATATTTTAAATAGCTATTATTATCTATTAAAACATAAATTTATTTTATAAAAAAACGAGGCCAGGTCAGGCTGAAAATATAAAACATGGATCGGGCAGAAAAAATTTTGTAAAAAAAAATCAAAGCCAGGTTGAAATTATTTTTATAAAATCTGGGCCAAAAAATATATAAAATAACTAAAATTTTAGGCATATAATTACATTTTATTAGAGAATTATTATTTGTAACTTATCTTTTATCCACCACCTCTATCATATAATAATGATTGAATGATTAATTATGAAGAATATTTTATATAGATAAAATTAAAATATTTTATCTAAATTTTTATTTACACATAAGATATCCTAACATCTCGTCCAATTATTAAAAAAATTGGCCCTGGGCTCAGGTCGGCCGGGATAGAGTACATTTATTTAAAAAATATTTCAAATTTTCTTCCTTATTAAAAAAAACATTTATTTTTAATATAAATTAAGTAATAAAAATTTTGGGATCATAGAGCAATAATAGTTAAATTCTATATGTTATTCTAGCAAAAAAAACATTTTGTAAAGCATATTTTTTTACAAGAGATATTTCACGATTGAAATTCTTGGCATTTTTATCTTTCTTAAGAGTTAATTATTTTATTTTTTTTACTCGATAGAGCTCTTGTAAAATGATCCTATAAGGCTGCATGTTGGGCACCCATTCTATTAGGCCGCATTCTTCGTTTAAAGGAGTAACAGAATATGTTTTAATTTTGAGATTCCTCTTCCTAGATTCGTGATTCCTTAGAAGGCAATCATTGACTAAAGCATTGAATTCCATTAGCCTAGAATCCTTCCTTAGATCGTCTTTAGGCTTGCAAAGCATGGGGTAAGATTTTCCTTAGCGCAAAATATCACATGGGATAATATATAATTAAGATACAGCATATCTTTATTTTTTATCAATTATATGATTGAACACGTGGGCGAATAAAATTCCTTAAAAAACACGGTGAACAACGGCGTTCCTTTCATTTCAAACAAATTTTTTTAATGCGAACGTATCTAGATTTTCTGTTTTTTCGGTCAATTAAGAAAAGTTCAAATATTTAAATAATCTGATACTCAACTGTTTCCTTTAATTATTTATCCATACTTTATATTGTTTCGTTTATAGTTTATTACGTCTTAGACTTTAAAGATTTGAAAGAATGAATATAATTATTTATACACCGTTATAATTTTTAATCTATGGCTAAGGATAACGAAAATTAAATTTTTTTAAAAAAGTAACGTGCCCAACCCTATCCCTTTGAATATAATTGTCCAGTCTTAACATTAAAGATAATTGATCATAGGTTTTAATTTTGATTCTCATATATATTATACTAATATTTTTCAAAAAAAAAAATTTGATAGTGAAATATTTGGAATTAAAAAATAAATGTTATTTAAAGACTAATATCAAAATTTGGGTACAAAAAAGTAGTTGACTGTATATTTCATAATAATTAAGCCATTATGATTTGGGAAAAGGAACTTTGATTAAAATTTTTGTTTTTAAACTAACCATTACTAGTTCGGAAAGAAATCTTTTTGGGTCTTTGAAGTGATGGCAGGACTTCAATATCATCTTCTATCCCAACTATATATATTTTCTCTCTATAATTTTCTATATTATCAAGGGAATTCATGTTTAAATTAGATAAATCGGAAAATTTATCATAGAATTTAGCCTTTTTAGAAGGTGGAGTCTCATTGTTATCTCCATTCGTGGGCATCGATTCAGAAGAAGCGTCGGAATTAATGGAATAACAATTGGGATTTATTGACATCTCGGATAACAAAGGAATTATTATGTGGCTCAAATTGGGGTCTTCCAGTAATCTTTAAAAAAAAGTCATCACCATTTTTAAATAAGATTTATAGTAGAAATTCGTATATACTTATAGTAATTTATGATTATCATAAGATTTAATAAATTTGGGACAAGAACCTTTATAACTGGGCAAAATCTAAATACCATAACCTATTTTTGGAACCATATTTTGAAAAATATGTAGATGCAGTGGCGTAGACAAGTTGGGGAGAGGGGTGTTTTTTAAAAAACAAAATTTAATCATATAATTTATATTGTTAAATATTACATAAAATGAAAAGAACAAGTAATCTATAAAGATCATAAAATCATAAGATTCAAAAATATTTTGAATCGGGGAAAAAATGTATTTAAAATTCGACATTTAAGATTCCGCCGATGTCGTGCCGTAGTTTTTATTTAGCTTATAACTTATTTTTATTTATTGATTAGAAAATCTATTGCTCTTTGCTTCTACAATTTTCCCACTCATGATGTCAATCTTAGCAATTTATTTTTATTTTGCCAATAATGTTCCTTAAACTACAAATAGTTAGAAGTATTAAAAAGTATGAAATGCAATAATTATTGCAATAAATATCTGAGATAATCCTTCCATATCTTTGGATGACTTTACGCTTTATCATAGTTTGTATTTGGTTCTTAATTCGGTTATTTTTTTTGTGGCTGTGAAGTTGATTAAAGAAAGTAGGCACTAAAAGCAAACCAGATAGTTATACAACTTCTATATTCTCCGTCCTGATATGATGCTAATTTTGACAATTTTATATTTTTTACCAATAATTCTTTTCCCCTTTAGACCATCTACCAAAGAGAATAAAACAATAAAAATTCTTATAAAGCTTTACATAATGGTTTGGTAAAAGATTTGTCTAAAAACTTGGCTAACTTTCTCGCTTAAAGCGTGACGTCGTAGCTATCATTTTTTTATAACTCAATTTCTTTTTGTGGATCTTTAACTATATTTAATTGAGGTATTAAAAGCAGTTTTTAGGCACAAATATTAGCTTACGCCAGATATATATTTTTTAAATATATTTCCCATTCTAGCATAATGCCATTTCCTATACTGTGTATCAAACGAATTAAATTAATTCATAATTGAGCATTAAACATTGGTAAATTTTTTAGAAATAATGCTTTCAGTCGCTTTTTAATAGTAAGGTTGGCCAACATTTTGCTAATAATTTTTTCATTTATGCTGGCTACTATACTGCTAATGGTCAGACGCTAATAAAGCACAAAACATTGGCATATTTTAGAATTATTACAACTTTAACGTAGATGATATAAAGATAACCGAGAAAAAAATCAATAATACATCATATTTTTTTATAGGAGGGACGAAGCCAAACAAAAAAAATTCACCCCCTCCCCTCCGTAGATAAAATCAGGCTATGCCACTGTTTAGACGGAAGCCCTTTTTTTAGTTCAGGTTCCAAATTAGACTGATTATCCAATTATTTAAATTTGGTTCTAATAAAAGGATTTAAATTTAACCTAAAGCCTGAGCTGTGGATAATATATATTAGTTATTATATGGAGAAAGGTCTGATGTTGGTTAGGGTTATGAATTTATGGAAGTATACATCCCTAGCCAAACATCGGACATTTGAGCACATCTAATGCTATCCTCGACATTAGTCCCCAACCAGGGCCATGGCTTAAATGTGAAATTCTTTTCATATACCGTTATTAATTTAAGTAATGTATTTGGATGTGTACGTTATGTTGATTAACATAAATTTCTAAAAAAATAATTGGTAACTAATTTTAAGAGTTAGGACGGGGACCAAGCTTTAGGTTAAATTTTTTAACATTTTATTATTTATGTAAAATTCTTGACATTATTTTTGAAAAAATTTTTAAATAAAAACATAAAAAAAAAACTTTTTGAAGTTTCTAAAATGAACGGACATCTGAAGAGTGGTAAACCCGGGTTGTTCAACTTCTCTATTCGCGATCTCGAGAAGTTTATCCGCCAATTTAGTGGCATCGGATAAATATTTTGCCAAATCGGAATTGGATTTGTCGTTCGAAACTATATAATCAATAAATTTATAAAAATAAAAAAGAAGGAAATAATGAAATATATTGAAAAAATCTCATTTGTTAAATACTTGAAATCGACCGATAAAAATTTGAAAGGATATTTTAGCCGATAAAAATCGGTTTTGTTGCAATCATTAGGAAATTTTGAAGAGGAGAATCGAATGCCCTTCCTGACATTAACCCCTTTAGGTGATTTTTACACTCAGTCGAGGAGACAGTGATCCTATTTTAGCGCCAGACGACAGGAACCTTTTAAACCTCCATTAACCGTTCAAAGACGTACTCTCCTGCCATGATGAGGCTGAAGGTAAAGAACAAAATTTTAGCCGATACAAAAAAAAAATTGAATCGCAATAAAATATATCATGATTAAATAATGATCAAAATTATGTCAAATGAACATGAAAGTGTTAAAGATAATTTTAATCATCATAGATTGGTTATTTGATCATATAAATAAGAGTATTGTGGAGAGTCAAAATATTCCTTCGCATACTAACATTAGGCTAATGGAGTAAAATTACAAGCTTTTTATTATCATTAAAAAAAAATTATCTAACTGACCATATATCTTCTTCTTCTTTTTTTTGAAAATTAAAAAATAAATAACTTTTAAAATAATATCATCTAAATAATTTTGCAACAAAATAATAAAATATTTTACCAGGCAAAATTGTATAAAAGTAAATCGAGGGAAATAAAGGAACCTTAAAATAATAATTATTTTCTCATTATAGCAGGTTAAAACTTTTTAAGGCTCGAGTACTAAAAGGGAGCGGAAAGGAAAGGGGGGGGGGGATAGATAATGTTTTATTTTTTATAACGAACAGAAAATTTATGGCTAATACCAGATCAGAACATTCCATTAAAATTGAGTGTTTATTATAAAAAAAATTAACATGAATATACATTAATTACACCATGTGTTGTTAAAAGGCTCGATTTGAGCCGATTTTTAAAAATGGCCAACAAAATATTTTATCCCAATATTATCCAAGCCCGAAGATTTGTCTCATAGATGGTCAGAGATTTCTATGAGCGAAATCTCGAAGCTTAGATAATATTTTTTTCTGGTTTAAAATATTGAGTTAGCCAAAAATATAGAAATTATTCGGAATATAAATAGTAAGCTGGCGATAAAAATTATAATGTTTCAAATTTCTGGAAATGATATTTTGTAACGGTCGATTTTTGGCTTGCTAACTTTTAAAATGATGCGCACCGAACGCTAAAGGGCTTTGGTATGTCCTTGGTAGGGTTGTTAAAAAGCCCGATTCGGGTGAATGTTTGTTGAAAAGCGAACCCGATTTAGATCTTAGGCAAAATAAAATTATGTAAGCCTGAAGATAGCGCATAGATTGCAGAAAAGGTTTAGACCTCTATTTGCCAAATCTCGAGGCTTCACAAAATACTATTTTGGCTAAAATCTTAATGGAGTTCGTTTTTAAAAATCAGAATCGAGCTATTTAACAACCATTGTTGGCCTAATCTTATCACAAATATTATTATTCTATTCTAAGTATTACTAATCTTATGGGAATGCCCCCTAAAATTAAGAATAAGTTGTATATTGTAACCTTTCGAGCCATGATCGATTCTAATGGCTTCCAGGTATATTTGTTTGCATCGTTCAGCCCTAATTTGGTGAGATGATTTAGACACGGCCACCGTCATCCAAAAAACCTTTTCCTTATTATTCCTTAACACGGTGACAAGACAATGCTTCAAGACTTCCCAAACTTGGACGTGGGGGTGACATATACGAGAAATGAGTTGAGGATACGCGGTTAGGAAAATGCTAGACGACATACCATCGTCTATGAGGTCGGTCACGCAATCGTTAATGAGGTCCAAGTTATTTGACAATATTTTCAATGTCATGTCGTTTTTAGAGTTATTTTTAATGTCTTTTAGATATTATTTTTTTGTGAGTTGAGGTATATATTCATATTGAGATGTATTTAGCTAGTGTATAATAAGACTATATAGAATTCCAGGTTTTATCCAAATTCACAAAAAAAGACTAAATTCTATAGAGACAGCTGGAATTAAACATAAATTAAACTTATACTATAAATGGAAATAATCGTTTATTTCATCATAACAAACAACCTTATTTGGTTATCAAATTTTACCAACTCTAAATTTAAATATAATATGATGGGCATTCTTATTTGTATTAAATATTTGTCTAAGATTCCGATTAGAAAAAAAACAATTTTAATTATCAAAAATTTAAAGAAAATTAGTTCCTTAAATTTACCTCTTTTATTGTATTAACTTTTTGTTTAATAATGTATGTCATTTTTAAGTCTAACTAGGGCAATCAAATTGGATAATACTGAAAAATTAAATTATTTCTTCCATTTGATGTGGTATATGATCAAATTCAGATATTTTAAGATATTACTGAAACACGCCAATTGGTTTTTATAATACTTATACCTTTAGCTATTTTATACATTAAAGTAAGGTATAAATCTAAAATGATAATCATATTTTATTATGAGAGGCCCCGCATAGCATCTAACCTAACAACTCCAGCATTCAATTTAAGATAGAAGGTGGAGGTGGGCTCAAAAAGTGAATATATTCATTATAATTCTGTGTAAAAGGTTTAAAAAAAACCCTCATAAAAAAATCGTAATAGAATATAATTAAAAAAAATATGAAGAAAACTAGCAAAAGTCTCGGCCCCGTAATCGAGCCAAACGCTGAGCAAACGTGGCAGAGCTTGATGACAATATTTAGTGCCTCTCTTCAACGCGCGCGAATAAAATTCGACGGCCCTCCTAGCCGCCTCCGCCCTAATGCTGGAGCATGGGATCGATCGCTGATAAAGCTTGTCATAATGGCGAGCGGAGTGAAAGTACCCATGTTCAAGAGTGGGCTCAACCTTTATCGATCTTTCGTAATAAGCTAAGATGGCGGGGCTGTCCAGCTTTTAAGCCATTTTTTTGTTTATATATAAATTACATATATAGTAAAACCTGGGTAATATGGGCTGTGTTGGAATCAATATTTATTGACCAACTTAAACAGTTGCCCGATGTATCAAGAATTTTAGATACTATATAATTAAAGACTTACGTGACAGGCCTCTTCCGTATAATTTCCAAGTAACGTTAGCGTTTTGCACAATTCCCGACGCCTCTGATAAGAAAGCGTTGGAAAGTCGCCCTGATCGTCTTGTTGAGGAAAATGAGTATCGAGACAATCTCTCAAAGCTTGAATGGCCTGTTGTCTCAAGCCTTTACGCGCTAGCCATTTGGCTCTTTCGATTTGGTATTGGGGCAGATTAAAATCCTTCGTATGGAGCAAAAAGTGTTGTGCTGTTTGTAGGTAACTAAAATATTTATGGAAAATATTTCAAAAAACGTATGTATCATAACTTATATATTTAGACGATAAGATTCAAAGTTGAATAAAAAAAAAGATGTAAACTTCAATTAATAAAAAAGAGATAATAAACAAAAAGTTAACTAGAAGTTTTAGGAATAATCCTCTATTAAATATGAGCAAAACAACTCGCGCAGAAAAAATAAAGATTGAAAATTATTATTGATATAATATACCCGCATTTCCTAGCCAATTTAGCGCTTTCTAGGTAAAGCCGCCCTCTATGGAGTTGAAGCTCGGCTTCAAACTTCGAAGGTAATATATGACGAGCCACATCGGCCAGCGTTCTGTGCAAGCTTAGCAATGGTTCCATACAAGTAAAACTGTGTTGAACGTTTTTAAGTCGACGTTCGCTGAGAGAAAACAAGCGGTTTAGATCGGGTTTGGGGTCTTCTGTGGAAATAATAGCTAATTGGCAAGGTTTGATGGTGCGTGATGCGTTTGAATAGCCCCTCAATATATGCGCGGCCTGTTCTAAATCACTTATCAAATGAAATTTCAACAGGGTTTGGTAGTTTCCTCGATAATAATCGGCAAAAACGAAAGGCGCTCCGGTTACAAAGTGAGGCGCATACCGGAGCGAATTGGATTGATGTAGAGTCATGCGCTTAAGGATAGCAAAAAACTGGGAGGATCCTGAATCGTTGCGGATTATGGATAAAGCGTGTCCTAAAAAATAAAACCAATTATCGCTTTTGTCTATATCGTGATAGGGTGGATTGAAAGGTTTAGAAGATGCGTCAGGTTTGATCAATGCGTCAAGTTCGTCCCATCGATTTAGCCTCCTCAAACACTCAACCTGATAGGGCAATATTTCGTTAGCCCAAGTCTTGTTACTAAATAAGACTCCGCGGGAGTAATTAAAGGCGGTTTCGGCTTGTTCGAGGCACAGCAACGATTCTATTTTGCCCAAGTAATTTGAGATATTTAGGGGTTCCGAGGTAATTGCCAGCTCGTAACAAGCCGCGCACTCTTGATAATGGCCCTGGGACTGAAAATACATAATCTGTTGCTTGGTCGATCTTTTGTTCCCCGATCCAACGCTATTGTGAGCGTTTACGCCGCCTATACCATCGGGCTCATTTAAGGCACCGTAAAGTTTGATAAGTAAGTCGGCGTCAAAGCATTTCGGTGATGCGCGAGTTCGCCAATCGATTTCGTGATATATGAGGGCTCGGTGATAATCTTGGATAGAGTAAGCGGCCTTGGCCATTCCCTCGTAGGGCAAGCGTATGTGAAAACGCTCTAATGCTGAGAACTGGGGGTCTGCTTCCTTGATTTTTGGGCAAACCTTAGGCGAATTTGGACCAAACCGAGAAGAAATCAGAGGACTGGTGAGGCGAGAATGGCTCAGTATGATGGCCAAGTGCCTGCGTCTCCATTTGGAAATGTAGTCTAGAATGTCAAAAACGGTGAACAAGCATTTCCTGATCATATCGAGCCGTTGATCGTGTTGTATGCGATCCGTGGTGATTCCTTTATTGCTAGACTCGAAATTGTTATTATTATAGGAATCGTCACTTTGCTCAATTTTTTTATAAGCTTGCTTAATGTGGAAGAGGCAGTTAATGATGGCCTCCAGTTCAATTATGACAAAGTAGCATGTGGTGGACTCATCGCTGGAAAGTATGAGGTTCAAACAGACGAAGGGAATTACGAACCTAGCTAAACCAGCGTCGTACTTGAAGGCGTAACTACAAACCTTAAAAATTTTATAGAGTCTGCGTTCGGTATTAATACCGTCAGATTCGCGTCTAGCTAGGTTAGTCGTAGTTAAAAGGTTGATAGCACATCCACACCAATCGATGAGCCAACGATCAAAATCGAGCCATTTGGAACGGCAGCGTATATCTGTTGGAGAGTTGTAATAGGAGACAAAAAGGGGAGTGGAAGGAGGAAATTGATCGTAGGTTATGGTGTTAGTCATCCTATAATGAGAACTAAGGAGTGGCGTCAAGGTTGGCTTGAGCTCAGCAGGTATTTTGCTCCAAAAGAAGTTTTTTTGATTGACATCAGTAGTCATAGGAATTTCATTGAAAAGAGCCAAAATTTCTTGCATAACGAAAGCCGCACAATCCTGCATGCCAGCGTCCGAAGCCGCGTTGAATATTTTGTCCAGCATGGCTAGTAAGGTAAATGTAAATTCGTCACTGTCCAGATTGTAATAAATTCCAGCTAGGGATGATGGCATCTTTATGAGTTGCTTATCGGTCTGATGATGGATATAATGTAATAGACGTCCCGGGTCTAATGCTCCTATTAATCCCACGCAGTGAGAGAACAAATTCAAGCATTCAGACATGTCCTCGGGCAATTCCGTGTACGTTTTCCTTTTGGTGCATATATTAGTATGTTTAGCGATTCGATTGTGATTACGGAAGTTGGTTAAGGCGGTTAAAAGGCATATAATCAGTTCGTAAATAGTTTCGTCAAGTGAGTCCAGTGGAGTTAATTTTTGAGCATGATACACGTATAACTGTATAGTGGCAAAATTATTGAACAGTAAACGCTTTAAAGCTTTTATATAGCTAATTAGAGCGCCGGCCTGATTTTCTGAGCATGATAGACCCTGGCGTATGGTAGATATAAGATGACGAATATTAAATTTACTAGAATCAAATGATGGGCAATCCATTTTAGTTTGTAGACACCTTACACATGGTAGTTGAATAAAGGAATAAGAATCGAAATCAGGGTATGTTCGCTCTAAACAAATGTGAGGTATAAATAAACGTTCTATCAAAATATTATTTTCGGATAATAAAATATATTCTTTTGTTAAGGTCATATCGGAAGATTGGTGTTCAAGTTTTTTAAAGAGATGGTTATAAATCAAAATAATTCCATTTTGATAGTTCTCACTCAACGCCAAGCTTTTAATGAACTCCGAATCAAACGTTATCAAAATTTGACTCGCTACTTCCCTTAAGATAGAAGGTTCGAGATAATCTATCACGGTCGTGTAGGCTTGAATTAGCAAACCAAAATTAGTTGTTCGCGTTGATTCCCTATACTTTCCAATGTTATTGATTCCTATTTTGAGAGTAGCTAAAATTTTAATCTTGTATTTCAAAATAGCGGCTGGTCCCAAGAACTTGATCAAGGATACAAAACTGCCAGTTAGGTCGTTTGATTTTTCCTCTTCATCTTCTGTCATCGCATAAAGATTCATGTATTTCCTGAACCGCGCATCAAAGTAATAAAGAATTCCAAGAATCCTGGGATTTAGAGAGTTTCTAACCACTTCTTCCAATAATACGTTATCTCCTTCCAATATAATCTCGATATTCATAGAACCCGTTTCGTCCGATTTATACTTATCCTCGTACTTGGAAAGCAGATAAAGACTCTCGAGGGTCCGACGTTCGTGGCAACCGGGGATCCGGGATACTAAATGATTGCAGATGTTCTGAGCATCCTGAATGATGAGTCTCCCGAACTCAACTTTTGTCACGGAATGCACGTAGAGAGCCAAAGATTGCATGAGAGTCGGGTGATGTAGAGCGAAGTAAGGATAAATGTGTTTCATATTGTCCACGATGACGCGCAATTTATCAAGTCCAGCTGCACTAATAAGAGCTGAACATGAGTCAATTTTTACGATTTCCAAACTTTCTCCGTTCTCGTATGATTCGTTTTTGTGCAAGAGGCACATTCTAATGGCTTCAGGAAGAAGCCACTTCAAAGATAGATCAAAAAATTTCGAAAAATTCGTGAAGCCTAGCAGTTTAGAAAATTTAAAAAGGACTTCTTCGGGATTGCGTTCCAGGAGTGATTGCTCATGGATCGCGTTAACTATGAGATTAGACACCGATGCCGAATATGTCTCGTACAATTGAATCAAAGATTTTCCAGACCTCTTGGCGATGGCTAACAGATGATAAACCGCTTTGGCAGACACTAATGGAGTTAAAAAAAGACTTGATTCGAATAAATTAGTTATGTGAGTTTCTAATACTCGATAAGATAAGGTGCAATTAAAATCACCAACCGATTTTTTGATGAATGAAATATAATTTATCAGGAATTTTCCCATAAGATCAATTGCAAATAGAAGTCGTTTAAGGTTTCGTTCAACTTTGCAGAATAGATAAGCTTTTTCGACAGATAAGCTTAATCTTTTGATAATTGTTTCGAGCTTTGATGGTTCAAGGAATGACAAAAACTTTAAAATGGCTGGCATCGATAGCATTAGCCGATCTAAAACATGTCCATCGGTCGAGTCGTAAATATAGGAGATGTGATGATGCAAAATTGGATCAAGGTAAGATAAAATATTCTTTCGATTACTTTTGGCTGATTCGAATAATAAAATGTCTAGATATTTAGTGGTAAATTCCGTGTAACAACTATAGTAGGAGTCAGTATCCATTAATGAATATGCTGAACTCAATTCAAGCTTAGAATCGCAAATTAAACAATTAAAACCAAACGCACTCCGATAATCAATAAAAAGAGGTTTGGAGTGAGAGGCGGCAAGGGAACATGGATATTTAGTCAAATGGCGGAAAATATTAAAATTGGTGGAAACGTCGATTAGGGACACCTTATATTCCTTCCAACTATGCAAAACTTTTAAAAGTAATTTTTCTCTAAAGGTGGATAACATTAATGGAAACAGGCGTAATAAACGATATCTAAGGTTTCTGTCAAGTTTAATATTGGTAACTTCTCGCAACCATCCATCCATCCTTTCCTCGGGGAGAATCATGGGAGATATTATGGCTAATAATGCAAGGTTTTCAGTGTTTAGGAAGGGCGAGTAATCAATATTATCTTGAAGAATTTTTTTTTGGATTGGAGTTATTGAATTGAATTTAAAAAAGGGCAAGTTAGAGGAATATAAAATTGTTTCTAGGGTAAATTTTTGACTTTGACTAAGGGATTCATCGGTAACAAAAAGGTTGTAGGTGAAAATGATACGAGTAATGAGTCGCGATAATATAGGCAAGATGTGTTTAAAATATAGATTTCCTTCTTTGCTATCATAAAGGTACCCTTCTGATTCGTCGAAATAAGATAGAGAGATTTTTGAAATACACTGAGAGAAGTCGGATTTCCATAATATATTGATAATATCAGTTAATAATTTATCTAATGGGGCAAAATAGGGGTCGTTCAGTATTGACGATTTTGAATGGATTAATGCTGATAATGTTAGGGATAATTCAAGGCTAAAGAGGTATTCCTTCAAAATATATAAAATATCAAATAATTGCATAGATTTTTGATCAGAGAGAAAAGATGAGAGGGTTGCTAACACTTGAGAATTAGATTCTTGAGTAGATACGTTTTTGAAGGTCTCAGTCATGGCTTTTGATTTAATAATATTAGTAAAATGTATCTTTAATTTTGAGGGTTCAATGAAAAATTCTGAAATATCCTTGAAAGCAACATCTATGCCTAGTGAGAATAAAGTGGAACTCAGAATGACATTGATCAAAGATTGCCTTAATTTTAAACATTGAGTAAATTTTTGTAGTAATTTCATCTTATGAATAATCTGTACATAATAATCGATATTCAGAGTTTGATCTAAACTTTTTGAGGAATTTTTATTTTTAAATTTATTATCCAGAAGAATGATAATGATGTTTAGCATGTAAGTAGTAAATTTAGTAACAGGCATACACTCTTGTATTATGGGATTATATTTGTCAAAAAGTTTCTCCAAATTTTGGTCTATTAGAACTAACTCATTATTAGTTATAGACCAAATATGTGTAAGTTCATCATATTTTGCAAGTCTGTGAACATAATTCAACATATCCTTGATGACATTACAATAACTATCTATCTCATTAAGATAAAATACTCGTGATTCAATTGTGTGTGGTGATATATAGGATTTTAAATAATTTTGTAAAATATTGAAAAAGGATATTAAATTTTTAAAAAATAAATTGGAATTATATAAAATTGATTTGATTTCTATTTGATGGCAATAAGAAAGTTCCATGATCTTAAAACTATATTTAGGATATTTACGAGAATTTTCCATGACTGAAATTTTTCCCAATATATGTGCAATTTTAAATTTAAGCCCACAATCCAAATTATTTATTACAGGATTAATAATTTCACAAGATTTGAAATGTAAATCAAACATTATTTTTAAAGTATCGTAGACAAATTTATAACATATATCATTATTAATATCTAAGGAATATGGATTAAACTCATTAATATTAACAATCTGAACTTTGGCCTCATTTGTAGTATTACACAACACAAGAAAAGGACTTAACATATCTGTTATGATTGAATTTTGGATTTCAATATCAATGTTTGCCAAATTTTGAAAATAGAGTATAAACAAATTTTTTGAGTTACCTTGTTCTTTATCATTTTTTTCTGAAGAGATATTTGAAACATATTCAATAATTGTGTAAATATAATTGATTATATATTTTGTTAACTCGTGAAATATTAAATAGTTTTTAGAATATAGGCAATACAAGAGAGAATATATAACATTAGATGACTTTAAACTGAGTTCACTGTATTCACAGAACCATGAATGTAAAGCTAATAATTTGAAAATTAAAGCCCTATTTTTTAGTTTTAATTGAATATAACCTCTGTCAATAGGTAATGTGTTTTTTAAGGTAATAGCTTCATCATCATTTGATTTGTTAGGTACTGTAAAGGTTTCAGGGAATTCTTTAACACAATGTGTTATAAAATCAAGGTAATGTTTATTCCCTAATGATTTTTTTACCTAAATTATATAAAATTACTAAATAAATTTATTTGATTACCTGAATTTCTTCAAGCATTTCATTGATTAACATAAAAATCGTTTTATAAATATTTGACTCAATGGGATCATCCATTTAGTGGGACTTTTAAATTTTAAATTTCAAATTTTAAAATAGATTACTTACATTATAAAATATGATCTATTAAAATGATTGACATGCGTCATTATTAGAATGATAACTATAAATGCTATATAAATTTACTTTGTAATTTATTAAGTTTTTTTGTAGTAATTTGATTGTGTGCTTTTCATTATTTTCTTATATCATTAGTCATTTTCTTTATTCTTCTCTAATTTAACTAAAAATAAATATAGAACAAAATAACTCACAAATTGAGTTTCAGATGTATTAACAGATCCCTATATAGAATAAAAATAAGAAAATTCACTAAACACATTTTTGCTGCCCTTCTAGAAATAATCGGTCTTTTTAGCTAGCAATCAGCTGTTAACTCAAAAAATGATTGACATATTTATGTTTAGTTTTTATATTGTATTAAATTAATTTATTCTAGGCTATATCATGGAAAATTCTATAATAAAGCATATTTTTATAACTAATTTTCACCATAAGAAAGGATGTGAGGTATATATAATATTTAGATAAATCTTATTATAAGTATATTAGATAGAGGTGATATATCCTGAATTAGATCTAACTGCAGCCAACAATGATTTTTTGAAAAATTTGCCTAGTCTTAGTTTGCCTGATGGTGCCCATAATTTTTCCCAAGGTATAAAAATTTAAATATCATGTATTATGATAATTGTTACAGATTATGTCTATTTTACTCTTCCCAGATTTATTACAAAAGCCCTTCCTTTTTATGGTGTATCATATTATAAACAAATAAATGCAAAAGTATAAATTTGACATTTTCTTTATTTAAAAATCTATTTGCATCAATTAGACAAAAATATCTGCATGGACCAGCCTGAAGCCCATTGGCTGGACAAAATAAATTGATGGGCTTCTCAAGTTGTTCATTATATTTATAAGGGCATCATTTAAAATTATTTTTAAAAAAAAATTGTTAGAAATAGGCAAATATATTCCATGTTCTTTTATAAATAATTATTTCAAGTCAGGCTGGTCCTATATAAAATATAGGGGCTGAAAAATTTTTATAGGCCCATGGTTCAGTCCACACTGACCTCTAATTTCTAATATAACTAATTTGCAACTTGTGGCATTTTTTCTTTTTCTATTATATTATCATCGTAATCTATATAAATTTAAATTGATTTTTATGTTAGATTATTTTATAAAATGCTTTAAAACAATTATCAGAGATGCTGCCTAGCTTATATATGATGGCCATATTATAGAATGTAAAACAAGCCCCTTTCAAATTTTTAATCTCCCCTCAAGTATAAAAATCTAGTAATGTCCCTTGACTATACCATATAATTTTAAATATTTGGCCTCTGCCTAAAAATAAAAAGCCAGAGTGGTATTTATTAAAATTTACTAGGAATATATATTTTTTATATTTAGATTATATCAAATGAATACCTAAAAAAAAATTGTAAAATCATATTAATTAAAAAAGCATTTGTCAAAATCCTTTTGTCCAGCAGAAAATATTTGTTATGACATTAAACTTTACATTTTTATTAAGTCATTTTCAAAATATAGCTAAAATTATATTGAATGATCAAATTTTAAAAACTCCAAAGTTTTGTCATGTTATAATATTGAAAACATCTGTATTCATTTTAAACTTGTTTAGAGAGGCTTGCTTTTTAACATGAATTTTAACAATAGTTAAATTAAAATCAGGGACCTAAAATGAGAAGATTGATATATCTCATTCCAGATTTATACACATAATCTATACTATAAAAATTTTATAAAATAAAATAAAAATTAATATACACAGATATTAAAAAGAATTGTTCTTTATTCTAATTGCAATATAAACAATGGTTAGCATTTTCATTATTTGATTGAATTATTTGAAATTATTCATAAGCATTCAACATGTTCCTTGTTATTTCCTTTCGATAATGTTAAAAAAAAAGAAATAAAGAAAACTTGAATTTTTCTTATATATTCTTTAAAATCTAAAAAATATTAATATTATAATGCTTCATTTTTTATCGATATTTTTGAAAATTCAATCAAAATATAAGTATTACGTTTCCTAGCATCTACCAATATTATTTTCTAGATTTATAAAATATTCCCTATTTTTTTTTGCACTAAGCTTTATTTTCCATATCTATTAATCTTCCTTCATATTTTTTAGTTTTTCGTTTTAAAAAATATAATTTTCAAATTTAAATCAAATTAATGTTTTAATTATACGTACAAATACAAATAATGCAATTCATCAATTACTCCATTCATATGTAGCTTGTAGGGGGCCAGGATACATTTCAGCTTTTTATTTTTATTTATTATCAAATTTATGTGGCCATTATTATGTTTTCGAAACTAACTCGCTAGATATGTTTATTATTTCAATATGTTAATTATTTAAATAAAGAATTAAAAATGGAGGAAATGAGAATTTTAAAAATGAAAATTTTTTGAATATTTTTTTTAAATGTCTTATTTTGTTCAGAAATACATCGACGCTGAAAAAAAATTTTTTTTAATATTTTGATACTCCTTAAAATGAATAGGAATTTATTTCTACCAAATATATCGTTGCTTGAGAGTCAGATTATTCTATGTCCATTCTTGTCTAAAATGACTTTTAATCATACTGAAAACAATAGAAACTTTATTTTTAAAATTGCTCTCCTGTAGAAATTACAAAAAGGGGAATAATCTAATTCTAAGGTGAAGATATATCCAGGTAATTTGATATTTTTAAAACCAAGTTCTAATTTGTATTAGAGCTGCATTCATAGTAGGATCCGATCCATCACTATTTTTGATTATTTTAAAATTGTTTATGAGATCAATTTTTTTTTATTAATATTAATCTTTATCTCTAATTCCATTCATGATATTAATCTAATAATTATTGATTTTAATAAAGTGAAACTGATCTCACACATACAGATTTAAAAAATCAATCAGTTAAATCGCGACGAATCCGATCCCACTATGAATGCACTCTTAAACTTTGAGGCCCCATAAATCCGAATCTATTAGAAACTTAAAATTGTGATAGGTCGGTGAAATTATTTAATTGAACTTGTTCCAGGTCCCTGACCTCTGGTAAACCTTTTTTTTGTCCTGCTTGCTAAACCATTTTTATTAATATTCAAGGATTTTGCCAACAAAGACAAAGATATCACTAGGAGCACCGTACAAAAAAGTATATGCGTTTTAAGCACGATGGTAAATATAAAATAATATAATGATTATGCATTTTTTATATGAACTTTACTAAAATTTTATCATTTTGAAAGGTTATTACTTCCTTTTATCGATAAAAATTCATCCTTAATATATTTATAATAAAAATTAAATTGATAAAAAAAAGATAATAAATTCACGATATTTTTCTAATTTATTACGTTCATTTTTTTTAGCCCTTATTTGAGTACATCAGAAAAAAATTGAGCGAAGCCCTTGACGAATATTTTTCCTACGAAAATTGCGATTTTCAAGAATTCTTAAAAAAAATATACTGCGAACTCAACACTTTGCTACCTTTAGAAATGAAGGAAAATCCGAATCTCACCTATCAAGGTATCGGATTAAATTACAATAAAATAAAAGAAATTAAAATTATGAATTTACTATAATGGTAAGAGCACCCGATTTTAACTTTCATTGAGGGATCCTATATTTAAAATTTAAAACCTGGAATGCCCAAATTAGTGATGCATTGCATCCACATTTGAACCCGATGAATTCGGACTCGTTGCCGGGTTTAATATCCGTTAGATGCCCAATATAAAATTTTGATAACATCCCATTTTTTCATGAATTTTTTTTAAAATAAAAACCAAAATGTATGAAATAATAAATAAATAAAAAGAAAAAGAAGGAAAAAATCTAAAATAGAAATTCCGAGAATTGATTTTTTTTAACGTGAAATTTATAAGCATCATTAGCGATATTGTCATGGTCAGCGTCCATGTTGTTTACATCTATATTGAATAAATTCTATCTTTTCTTTTCAATTTTATCGTTATCATCATCATCTTCCTCATATATATACACATTTCTGCTGTCTTTATTTTAAAATTGTGTTCTATTATAGTGTTGGCTTGTTGTATATTGTCTTATCATAATTAATAAAACTTTGAGTAGATTTCCCATTGTTATTAAATCTTTGATTACATCTTGAGCCATATGATTGTCTGTAGTTATTAGTTCTGTAATTATTTTTCATTATTAAATATAATTTTTGTTCATAATTGCAATTTAATCTATTATTTAATCCTGAATATTAATTATTATACGATCTGTCTAACCTATCATAGTTGTATCTTGGATTACTATGATTTTTGATATCTTGAAATATAGTAGTTGTTGCTTGTAATCTTTGTCCCGCTGGGTATTTTGTCGTACTATATTATCGTCGTTACTGTATCTATATTTTTTGTTCGCGCGTTTTTTTTATCCTCCATCTTTTTAATTTTTTTTTACTCCTATTAGTTTTATTGCTGACTCAGCTTCTATTTATTATCTAAACGAATCAATTTTCGCTATAAATTTATTTTTAAATTCTAATTTTCCAACTCATTACTTATATTGAATACTTCGTCTAATGTAGTGTTGATTTTTGTCCGATATCTTTGTTAATAGAAGAAATCGAACATTCTCAAAAAACTCTGTCATATCCTCTAAATTTATGATATAATTAAACTCGCAAAAACGAGCTACCCAATCACATTATTTTTTTCTATTCAACAGCATCGAAATTGATAAGTTTGCAATTCTTCGATTTATAGGGATATAATAACCAGAATTTTTTTTGATGCGTTTCTAGGGTTTGGTGAACTCGGAGATGGTACAAGTAGCTTGTAACTTTATAAATTCATCATCCGGTAATTGATGCGTGAAAGATTTGCGTCAGGAACTGGACTGTCCTTCAAAACGATCCCAACTCTATTCATATAAAAATTTAAATTAGAATTATCAATTATAGATTTTTATTTTGGTCGACTTTATTTTGGTATTCAATTATTAAAATATTAGTAATTTATTTTTATTAATTAAATATATTATATAACGTATGCACATCGAACGAAAATAATTAATTCACGAATTTTTTTTATACATATCGTCGAGCGTGGATAATAAACCATTCGCCGTCACCTAGTGTTGCTAAACGGCCCGATTCTGGTCTAAATTTTTTAAAAACGGCGCTATTAATTTTGGGCCAAAATAATAATTATGTAAGTCTCGAGATGTGGCACAAATCGAGGTAGAGGCCTTTCTGCCCTCTATGAGCAGAATGTTTCATGCTTGCGTAATATTATTTTGGCTAAAATTATAATCGGATCTTTAAACAAGCTTCTGTATCGTGATAAAGATATAGTTTTTCATTTATCCTCATAATTTTGGGAAAGCTCCTATTCATATCCGGTAAATATCCGACGTTACTCGACATCTGCGCTGAAAATTTGATAATTATCAAATATCTTTTTCCATTATACTTATATTTATTTATAGGTTATGATATGATATAAAAATTCATTTTAATAAAATTTAAAATGAAATAATCTTACAAAAAAAAATACTGTGATTTGGGTAGCTCGTTTTTTTTTTTGAAAATTGAATATTGATTGTAAATTTATAGGCCTATGACAGAGTTTTAGAGAAGGTTAAGATTTCTTCCATTAAGAAAGATATTATAAAAATTATCATTTAGAATATAATGTAAAACACGGAGCATAGATAATATGGAGAAAAAAAAATATGAAATTAGATTACTTAATATATAAAAATAAATCTTTTAAAATGATAAGATGTAACACGCCAATTTCAGTAAATAATGATCTTAAGACATTTTTTTTTGATTGAATTACTTTTTATTTTCTAAATCAAAAAAAAAGATGAACAATTCCCATGGATATAAGATGAATGAATGACTAAATATCTTTATTTTCTATTTATCTTTGTATAGGTCTATCACCTTTAATACTTTTTGAATTGTTCCCGACCAAATCCGTGCTTTTATTGTTCAAACTCTTGCTCCTGGAGAAAAAAGTATGCCTTTTTTTAAAAAAAATGTTTATTTAGTCTCATAGTCTACTATTAGTGTTGTTAATCGGCTTAGCCGAGTCGGCTCGAACAGAGCTGACCCAAATTTTGGGTCGTTTTTTTCAACTTCGACTCAGAATTTGGTCGTTTTTTTCGACCTCGACCCGAGTTCAAGCCAGAAAACGACCTCGACCCAAAATATGGGTCGTTTCGACTCCGACTCAAAGCTTGGGTCGTTTTTCGACTCAGTCTTAAAGTTTGGGTCGTTTTTTCGACTCGCATTCAAACATCGGGTCGTTTTTTACGACTCCAACTTATTTGAATTTTTTTAAAGCAAATGGTTAAAAATACATATTGTAAAATGTTAAATTAATAGACAAATGGGTAAAAATATATTTTACAAACATGTTAAATTAAAATTTCATTGAAGTTGTACCATAGAAAAGTGACAATTGTCATAATCGTTATTTTTGAATTTTTTTAAGGCAAATAGGTAAAAATATATTTTGTAAACATGTTAAATTAAAATTTCAGTGAAAATGTATGTGACAATTGTCATAATCGTTATTTTTGAATTTTTTTAAATAAAATGGGTAAAAATAAACCACCCATATTTTGGGTCGAAGTCGTTTTTTAGGGTTGGACTCGGGTCGGAGTCGAAAAAACGACCCATATTTTGGTTCGAGGTTGTTTTTTGGCTTGAACTCGAGTCGAGGTCGTAAAAAACGACCCAAACTCTGAGTCGGAGTCAAAAAAAACGGCCCGAACTTTGGGTCGGGGTCGCGACTCGCGGCGTTTTAACAACACTATCTACTTCTCTTTTTTTTAAGCTATTTTAAAATATATCTAGCTACGCGATGTCTAAATTGTTTTTGTCGACGACTTGTTTTTTATGGAGTGTCTCGGGTGAATTTTCTCGTTTGGCTTATTACATTACAACATACTTTCAACCATTTTCAAAGTCTGAAGAGATTTGAGCTTACGTTTAGATTGTTAATAATAGGGCTGTGCCTATATTATATACCGGGTGACAGCCGACGCTAAGCATATTTTAATTGAACCGATCCGATTTCATTGTTGACTTATGATTTCGGCTGTGCCGATCCACCAATTTTTCGCCGATCTGATATTTCCTGATTTTACTACAAAACCGATCCGATATTTTTGGATTTTATAATACAATATGAAAAAAAAATTAACATTTTCTATTCCAGAAAAGGGCAAAACTAAATTCCACGAATCATTGAAATTATTTGTATTTGTTTTCCATCCTCAACAAATTAATTATCTCATTAAAAACATGGGCGATGTTTATGGCTGGATGTAGCGTAGTTAAACGATTCGATTTCGGATTTTTAAAAACGGCTATCATAGTTTTGACCAATCCATTACTACTTAAGCCTCAAAATTTCGACAATTGAATCCGGGCTGGGCCGTACAAATGGTGCCTCTGCAGGTCTCTGTTAGATATACAGTCATAATAGAACCAATAACCATAAAAATTGGGGATAGATTTTTTGAAAATATTACTATTGGCACACCTAGTGTTGTTAAACGGCTATTTTAAGGCGATTTTAAAAAACGACCAATTCAATATTTTAGCCAGAAAAATATTACGTAGGTCTGAAGATTTCGGGCAATAGATGGCACAAAGGTTTGGATATCTATTTAGCGAAATCTTGAGGCTTAGCCAATATTTTTTTGCTAAAATATTGAGTTCGCCATTTTTAAAAATCAGCTAAAATCCTGTCGTTTAACAACACTCACAACCCTACTGATAATTGTATATTTATTTATTAGAATATTTTAACAGAATATCCTGATATTAATAAATAAATAAAAGGAATTTTAAAAAATGTCCTAGCTTAAAAATGCAAAATTATTATTTTTTTGTTATAATTTATATTATTAAATCAAAGAGAAAAATAAGATTTTAATTGATTAGTCTAACTTATTGTAGTATTATTTTTTTTAAATGTAAATGTCGGTTATCAGATCAGTTTTGGTTGAATCTGGGATAGTTGGAAAATTTGTGGATCGGCACAGCCGGAGTTATTTGTATTATCCTCGTGAGTGTTGGCTAAAACATGCTGTCAATAAAGTGTGAAAAAACTACTATAGAAAAATATATACTGTACTATGGGACTATATTTTTTTTTAAAAAAAAGTTATATCACAATATCGTCGGTTGTAATTGCAAACGCAAACTCTAGTATCTGCCCATTTTTTAAAAAAATTATTTTTTTTTGTATAAATAAATATCGCATCTTATGAAATTGCCTTTCATTTTTTTTAAGCATTCTTAAGATTTTAATTATTAAATCTATGAAAAATCAGATACGATGGTTTGCAAATGCATTCGACGACCTTAATAATTTTATATTTTTTATGTAACAATAATAATAGGTATTATTTTACGGTTCTAACACGGGCATGTTAACCAAGACCATCCTGCTTTTGCTGTCACTATTTCCTAGTAACCTTTTAATTTTATTCATTATACCTCTCATCTTCCGTAGCGTTGCTTGGATTTAATATTAGGGTTCTTCTAAACTAAAGTTGAACCTGAACCCGGTCGAGTTTATATATTGGCGGTATCCGACAGAGTCCTTTTCTAGTATAAGATCCAACTATCCAGTGAATCTTTAGTTATATTTCTAATACTTTGCCCAAATCTTATATGGTTCCCATTCATAAAATTTAGCCGTGAAAGTTACGGTAGAGAGAACCCTATAAACGACCAAGCGACGTTTAAATTAGTTTTTTAATATTATTTTATGTTATATCGTTAATCGATATCGACTACATGACGATATTCCGATAGCTAAAAATTTTATACATGAACTAAACCTCTCATGAAAAATAGATTACATTTTAAAAATTATTTGCCTTACTATATAATAATATTATAATTTTTATGATTTTGAGACATTTTTGTACTTCTTTAAAAAAATATGTATTCACTTTTAAATCAATGCTGTGCATTTTTTTTCGTCCTGAAAGAATTTCTCGTCAGAGACCTATCATCTTTAAAGCCAGCCCAGTCCCATAATAAGACTCATAACTCAATTCCAAGTCAATACTTATCTCTCATCAATCAAACACACGGTGAATCCCACCAGAAGCCGTTTTCTAAAACTGAACCATTGTTGACCGATAAATTAAATCAGAGTCAATTTTTTATAGGCGATTTTGGCAAAGAAATGAATGGCACATCAGGATTTCAATCTTATATAAAGGACATTAGGGGGGATGATATTGGTTGCGAGATGAAAGATCGAAACAATGGTATCGATGCTAATTACTGCACTGACAAGAATAGGAAAACGAGCAATTTTTACGATGTCTATGAGACCAATGGTAATATATATATAAATAGATATAATGTTAAATATTTTACTTGATTTTTTAAAGTATAACATTATCTCCGCCTTTTTTTAAAATATGGCAAATTTATATTTAAAATTTTAATTCAATTATCTAAACATTTTCATTCCAGTTTTTTGCAAATTTTTTAATGGGTAGCAATTTAGAATTAATTGGGATACTCCTTAAAAAGATCTAATTAGGATTATATTACACAATTAAGAATGATCATATTAATCTTAGAAAAATCTTTTAAAATAAAATTTTTTTTTTGCTTAATGCATCTGTAGTTAATTTTAACTAATCACTATAAATATAATCTTTATTTACATTGATTAAAATATGTTATTATACTTACGACAAATACACTCACCAGAAAAATTTTAAGATGTCCTGGAGAAAAAGATCTAGACAAAAAAAAACACCAAAGAAAAATATCAAAATTTCCCCAAAAAAGAAATTTTTTTTGTTAATTATCGCATTGAACAAATTTCTAAAATTTGGATATTTTTGTTCGATGTCTTTTTTTTCCGGGGTAATTTCCTCGTCTGCTCATGATTTTATCAGTGTTTCAAAAAATTTTAATAATTTTTAACAATCAATGTTATTTTTTTTAAAAAGCAATAACAGCAATCACGCAAACGCAGTGCTGCAAACCATTGAATTATGATTCACCAGAAATTTTAGATGCATGTGGTTTTCCTTTGTCGATGTACGAAGAAATTGCCGTCTTAAATGATAATGATAGAGTAACAAAAAAATTAAATTTAAAAAATTTGCCCCGTTATTCTTATTTTGCATATAAATATAAATCCCCCTATTTAAAAATCCTCCCAATTTTACCATTTAAAATTTTAGTCCGGAAGAAATAGAATTTTATAATACATTTAGATATTCTTGCAGTTTTTACGTGTACAATAATTTTTCTATAGATACTTACAATTGCATAAGACCCTGAGAGGAAATTAATTTCGATAATTATTGCAAAAACTGTTTAATATTCTTTTGAAAATTATATTTAATGAATCAAGTCAATAGAAATTCTAAATATAAAATCTTCTTCAGATTCAGATGTCGAAAACGTACCTCTTCAGCTTTTATCAGGGTATCTGAACCGTTATCTCTGAAGGTTACTGTTCAGGGCGAAAATTTTTGAAAGTACTGTTGGGTAAGGCTTAAAAAGGGTTTACAGTTTTTAAAAAATTTATAAAAGAAATTTTTTTTATCTAAAATATCTATATATATATATATAGACATCTTCAATAAAATATTTGATAAGAGCGAATAGTAGAAAAACTTTTAAAATAAATATCTACTCTTAACTTCTCCCCCCTCCCCATACCTTTATCACTTATAGTAAATCTGATACCTATTATCATCTGGTATCCGAAAATTTTAAAGAGATTTGTAGTCTAGAAATCTTTCACGTAGGTTATTAAATTTATAGTGAAGAGCATTTATGTAGCTATTTCGATTTCTATCTTCTTTGATTTGATGTTTCTAAATTATTATGATTTCTGATATTTGCGCTTCTTGATACTACTATTTCTTAGATTTCCTCGCTGAGATATTTTTAAATTTATTTATACCTGGGGTATAAGACAAAATCCGGTAAAGTTCGTGGAATGTTTCCATATTAACTTTTTGTTAAAAACTGATTAGACTTTTGAATGAAAAATAAGATTGTGAATCATTCGATATTTTCTCAATATCGCTAGAATTGACTATTATATAAAAACAATATACATTAATATAATTTGAATACGAATGAATAAACTACTCTATTATATATAGTTTATTTATGCTATAAAATCACAAAACGTCTTATTGGATATTGTTTTATATTCATTTTTTAATTGCATTGATATTTTTTACTCCATATTTTTATATTGCGGACATCTGGACTGAGGTGGGTTTTTAATAGCTGTTTATCTCAAAAATATTTTTCGTTGTTCATCGGAGGGATAATTCATATTAACATTATTTATTAACCCGCATTCATAATATATAAACTTTAACATAATTATAGAAAAATTACATCTAAATTTATATTTATTGATCGATTAAAATTATATGCAAAAAAAATAGGAATCAGAAGAGGTGATTGAAATAGGCATATGGTGCCCTTACCTTTCCTTACCATATCTCGATCTGATGACAGACACTTCGAAGGCTACCGGCATAAATAATTGCTTAATTGGGGCATCTAACGTGCTCTTCAAACAAAAGGCTTCCTCGAATTTCGACGTTATTGTTGATGTAAAATACATTCATTTATATCTTAAAAATTTAAGAATTTTCGAGATTTTTATAAAAAATATTGTTATTTTACAATGTAATTACCTCCGGTTTTGAGACGACTCGAAAAAAATCTTAAAGCGCTTAAACTGTTATTTTCGCCATAGGATTATCACCTCAACCTTGAGTTTTTCTAAATAATGGAAAATAGCTCAACCTTGATGGAAACCTTAAAAATCAACTTAAACTTCAAAGCGTATTCGCGTATTTTTTTTTGTGAAGAAACCTCTTAAGATTAATTTTTCGACACTAATGGTTTACTCTATAAAATTAATTCACACAGGAAAGATATAGGTAAAAAGGCTAATGAAAAATAAAAGTAAAGTTAATTTTATCTTTCTTCGTAGTTTAAAACTTTTTTTTCCTCATATAGCTTTTACCATTTCGGGTGGTCAGCTCTTTCGTTAACTTCTTTTCATCCTCTATTAACATATATTCTCTTTATTCCCCTGTTAACTCTCATCCCGCGATTTTCTAAACTGCAGATAGTTATCAAATCATTATCTTTTTACTCGTAAATTTATTCTATTCAAGGTTTAAATTAGGGGAAGGCCATGCTAATGAAAAAATTTCGCTAGTTTTTGATATATTATATATAATATACGATTTCTTCTGATTGGAAATGCTGTAAGAACGATATAATACTAATTTTGCATATCATTAAGCTCGACACCAATCGCATAGATTTCCCGCTTAGCTTTAATCAAAATGTTGAATCGAATCATTCACTCAATGATATCGTCGGGAGGAATAGAATAAATCCCCAAATAGATCTCCGAAAGATTTTAAGTCTTACCTCAGCGGATGCTAGATTTCTTCAGTATTTGATCAGGAGGATTAAATTGTTTAATTCCGATACCTTTCGTTCTGACATAACTCCCTTATCAAATAATATATTTTCGATAAATAATGGCGATAACGTAATATCTTCAGCGAATACCATTGGTTCTGATCTCGATGATATTCCAACAAACACTTTAAATAATGACATTCATTCCAGTATTTCAAGGTCAAATGATGAGATTTTAATAGATGATGTAAAAGTATTATATCCATATGAACGCCAGTTAGAAAATAATGTTGGACATGTGGAGCCCGTAATGGATACATCCTCCGAAAATGTAAAACTGGATATCGAATACCCTACGAAACCTAAGAATGACAGATTAGACGTGGAACACGACGTTGCAGGAATTAGCGACGAAAAAATAAGTTTGAAAGAAAATTCCGACAATCGAATTATTGGTGACAATTCTAAACCGCTTGGTAATGCTGAAGATATAGAATTTGAAGTCGAATTACCGAATGACGAAATACATGAATCCCAAAATATCTTGGTGGATGTAAATATCGTAACTTCCATTAAGGATTATGAAGATGGATATGTTAATTCATGCGAACCGAATGAATTGGGAACGAATCAAATTTATCCAGATGAAGAGGCGCGAGAAAACTATTTTTCATCGAGTTCTGGAAAGGAATCCCAACTAATCGAAATAGGAACAGAACCTTATCGAGTTTTCGGAATGGCGGGTTATATTTACCTCATTATAATTTTAATATAGATATTTATATATAGTATTAACACAAGGATGTTTGCAAAATAGACCCGAAAGGCACTCCTAAGAAATTTATAGTTTATTTAAATATATTTTTGTTTTAAATCAGTTCGCGCTTTTTCGGGGGTTAATTTGCAGTCCACTAACATCATATCGCTATCAACCATTTCTCTGTATCTTAAAGTTTTAACGCGTTTTCCTATATTCAAACTTTAAAATTTCTCCATCAATTAAAGAAAGGAAGAAAACATAATTTACAATCAATAAACGGAAGCCATTTATAAGTGGATACACAACGGCACGCCTTAGGCTGTTTTTATAATCTCATATTTTGTTTGACATAAACTACAGATATTTTTTACCTAATCATATTTTCATGAAAGGGGGAATGGAGGGGTGAGCCCCAAAGTTTCCATCTTTTATATTTGCCGTGCATAAAATTTATACCCCTAAATAATTGCGTTAAATTTTGTCAAAATGTACCTGGAAACTTAAATCTCGACCTAAAAATATCATGAGATTTGGACTGGCTAATGCATTTATTAATTCGTTTCATTTCTGACACTACACCGATAATAAAGAGAACGCCCATTTTTGTTTTCTAATTTTCTACCAAATACATTAAATCAATATCTTACAATAAATACAAAATAATTTTCAACAGATAGTAACGGTGACATTGATTTAGACTCGTGGATACGAAATCAGTTCGAGCTGTACCTCATTTCTTTGCTAAGCACCACTCTTATGTCGGGTAACGTCTTTTATTTATCATTCTTTCATTATTTTGGTGAAAAAGATTGCACCCGAAAACCGATATCAAAAAACCAGACTGATTTTTTTTTATGAACCTAATGGGGGGTTTACGTTGTTTTAGTAAATATATATTTTATTTTATAGGTATTTTAAATAGCAGGAAAACGACTCAAGTAAGTTAATAAAGAGGGTGTTTCATTATATTTAAGCTATTCCGATTTTCCATAAACATTATAAAATAAGACACATTTATTAATCATTATATATATAAATATATCCTATATAATATTATTAAATAAATAATAAATTTCTTCCAAAAGAATTTGATTTTATTAAAAATTTTATAATAACATTTAAAATAAAAGTATATGTAATAATAGAAATACAAAGATAAAATGAAAAATTCTACAATGGTTAATTGTGTATCCAAATACGTATCATAATTTATATATGTTAGCGGCAATGTGTGTTTTTTTCAACTTTAAATCCTTTTCTTGGGTCTTTTTTTTTAAACTAAAAAATCTACCGGATATATATTACATCATGTTTGTAATAGCTACGCTATGATTTTCAGACAATTTTGACATGAATTTATATAATTTAAATTATATATTTTATATAAATTATGAGTGACTCAAAGGCTAAACGCGCTCAAAAAAAATGATTTAAATGAAGAAAAAGACACATTACCGCGAACTTATATAAAAATTGTATTTTTTTCTTACTAACTATTTTTTTAAATATTAATAACATTAAAAATTATAGCATTTCTAATGTGTAATACTTTTAAAAAAAATAGCCATAGTAGGGCCTTCCTTTTATTTATATACTAAAGTAAACTAAATATTGATATTTTACACTTCGAAAAAATTTGTAGTAAAGATGCTAAGAAGCACATTTTAATCCTTTGTTTTTTGCTTTGTTCAAATCCCGAAATAATTCAAATTTTCATCATTTTTTAGGGCCGATCTTGGTCAGGGCTTGTATATTAGGCCATTTAATATTGCTATCATTATTTAAGATGTTTTAAATCATTTAACCCCTACTAAATTTCAAGCTTAAATTATACGATCTCGCATTTTTGTAAAATATTAAAGAGTTCGGTAAATTAGTGAATAGTCACAATTAATGTTCTTGTGCATCAACATTCTTAAATTTATATATGATATAAAAGACTTTCTTGATACAAGTTTATGAAAACACTAAAAAAACCTTTATTTAATATTCCAATATAAACCAAGGTTGGGCCTGATCTAGAGGCTGAGACCTTTGCAACCCGCACACATTTTAAATTAGAACTTTCTCTTAGAATATTTTTAGGAACTTTATACTATTTTTTGTTCTGATAAAAATGAACGAATAATTTATACATTTTTTATATTGTTTCAAGATTTTTGCCTGAATTATTTTAGAGGGTTATAATGTTTAAATGAATTTACAAAAATGTATTCATACAAAGTTAGAAATCGGATCGAAGATCCTGAAAGTAGAACCTGTAGGAACCAAGACGAATCCTCTAAATTTTTCCAGGAGTCTGAACCTGAATCTTGTTTAGTCCACGTTCCAAATAAACCTTCATGAGCCTAGATAACCAATCCCATTTTATATAATTTAATATATTTTATATATATAACATATAAAGATGATACCAATCGTCCCAGATTCGAAGACGATTTTAATCGTAGTTTTGTTCGGGCTTATAAGGGGACCAAAAATTACCGTATTTGGAAAAGACGGATTCATTCCGGCATATCCGAAGTTCAGGCCGGGTAAATGATTCTTAATATTGAGTATACAATTTATTTATTTATTTTTTACTAATTTTTTTAAATAAAGAAAGTATAAGTTAACTAAATAACCAAATTCACTTATTATTTCATATTATAATGTTATAAATATAAATATTTTTCTTAAATATTTAAAGCCATCCATTTCAGGGATCGATAGGTGGTATGGACGTGAAAATAAAGCTTTCCAAGTGAGAAATTACTATTAAAATCTACGAAAAATTCTTTTGATGCTTGACATATCATTTAAGGGGTACTTCAATTCCCCTTTACCAAATTATCCAGTTTTCGTAAATATGATTCAAAACTAATAAAATGTTACACACCCACCTCCTTAACCCAGAAATATAATATGTCATAATATTAATATATTTTAAATATAATCCGGGCAAAAGCCTTCTCTGTATAAATTACAAATAGTAGGAAATTTTTTAAAAAAATTTGTTAAAATTAATAAATATTGTATTACAGCCTAACACATAATTCTTAAACCTTCAAAACATAGATAGGTTAGATTGTTTAACTACGGAATCGATTTCTGTTTCCTTATATGAATGAAATATTTTCTTATTAAGATAGATGCTCAATTTATTTTTGTCATGATTAAAATAATTAATGATGTGTGTAATTATATTATACTCTTATGCAGAGCACTATGACCTAAATTTTAGTAAAAACTTGATAAAATTCATTTTTGTACTATTTAACATCGAAATTTTGCATAAATTGATTAAGTCTTATTAGACATGTAGAATTCTTAAATTATCTCAACATTTATTTGAATTTTAATAATATACAATTTTTTTGGTTTTACTTCTGTTTAGTGCTCTGGCCTACGGAGACAAAAGTAAGAAAATAATAAACGAAGCCGCCTTAACAGCTGGAAAGAAACTTGGTAAATTATATGAAACTTTATTTTTTTAGAAGAATGATTAAGATGAATTATGTATTACTATGGCTTCCCGCTAGCCAGACCCTCTACTAGGAGAGGCTAACTAGCACATCTAGGAGAGCGGCATGTATGGTAAGCGCGATGGGGAATAATTGCTAGCGATTTAACAGCTGGCCATGTTTATAATATATTTTGAAGCATTTTTCTAATATGAATGATTCCTTTCATGAATCTATTTTTTAAGAAAAATATGGTACAATTTTTATAGAGAAGAATTGATCTCATTCAAATTTTTTTTTATTGATTCGGTCAGCAGTTAAATGTTAACCTAGCCTAAAATAATACATAGCTCCATTGCATATTAACTAATTAGGCTCAAATCTACAAGCGCGTGTTGAAAAAAATTGATATGCCTCTATCAGGGACTTATGCACTCCCCCCCCCACCTCATTAAAGTCTATGGCTGATTATTACCTTCTATCAAAATTAGCAAAAAATCCAAATTAAAGCCCTCCCCCATCTTTAATTTTATTCAAATGATTAATGTTGTTAAATTGTCTAAACCCCGCGACAAACTCGAGTTAGGGTTAAAGAAATTAACCCGACCTCGTGCAGGACTATCAACGCAAACCCAACTAGGCTTGGTTTAAATATTGTAAAAATATGGTCAAATAATGGCGATAGCGTCTTCGTAACTAACCTGCCCTTTTCAATTTAAATGATGATATAGCATCATACTCACCCCTCCCTCCCGTGTTAGAGATCCTTGACCCTGAGGCAGATTTTGTTTTTTCAACTTTTCTCGAGATGGGGTGATCTTTGATTGTTCTTGGACCGGCTAAATGGATCATATTGCCTGTATTATTATTAGTAATAAACGATACTGTTTAACTTTTTTTAAATTATATTATATGCCTTTCCTATTTTAGGCTTTGTTTGGAACAACACAAAATCTACCATATCTTCCTTATTCCAATAATTTTACATAACACGAAAATTATTTTGCTCAAAATGGATGCAGTGTTATTTCATGCTACAAAGAAAATCACTATTAAATATATTTATTTTTGTATTTGCTTTTTTTCAACAAAACTCAAAAATTTAATATATATTTTTATAATCACGTTTCAATTACTTCATATTTATTCCATAACTTATTAAAACATTATAATAATTAATATTTTATATTATGGAAAAGCATTTACCTTTTTCAATAATATTAATAAAATGCGTGTAGTGGATCATTTTTTTAAAAAATAAAGGTTAATCACATTTATATTTTTTTTATTCTTTTTATAATACTCAGATTCTTGTATTTTGGTTTGGAATAATATATAAAATATATATTTGGGTATCTTTTTATAATATTTTAAATTCATCCAAACAATTTGAATTTTCAAATATTTTTTGATTGAAGGTTGATAAATAAATTTGGTTTCCAATTTCTATAATTAAATTATTGTATTTTTAAAAAAATTCAAAAAACAACGTTGAATTATATCCCAAACACGGTTAACTTTTTTTTAGGAATTTAACAACTTGATGATTTCAACTACTAATATACAGGGGGAGGTAGTAATGCAAAATCGCTCCATCTGAGTCTATTTTTAAAATGTCTAACTCATTATTTTATCTAGAAAAATATTACGTAAGCCTGAACATCTTGCTCATAGATGGGGCACAAAGGTTTGGACATCAATTAGCCAAATCTCGAGACCTAAGCAATATTTTTCTGGCTGTTGATTGATTGATTTTTTTATTTAACTTAAATTTTTATTATAGCCTTAAAATATATATTTCGTTTTAAATTGTTTTTTTTATAATACATATATATATATACCTTATTTTATATTTATTTTTAGTATCATTTTTTAGTTTTAAATTAAAATAACGTACATATCATCTTTTATAAAAAAAAATACATAATATTAATATAATATTGATTCTTTTCTGTTTATTTAAAAGATTATATAACTTAGTATATTAAAACATGTAAAAATAAATTAAATACTAAAACATGTAAAAATAAATTAAAGACTAAAACGCTAAATAAAAATAAAAACGCTAAAAATATTATCTAACAATCTTGTTGATTTATCATCCTTTTATTATTATAACATCCAAATTTGATCAATTCTCTAATTATTGATATATTCTGAAATCCTATTTAATAATGATAATTTTACAATTGGTGATAATAACAATTTTGTAAAATTGACAATGATAACGACGGAGCTTGACGACGAGCCAGCGTACTCAAAACGATATTATCAAACCAACATGATAGAATCAAGCCAACGACTACAATGCCTTATGAACAACTTGAACAACCATTTGAACCACATATTTTCTATGATAGCTCAGATGGATTATGGGAAGGCTTTTCAGAAGAAGGGGAATGTTGATTGATTGATTTTTTTATTTACCTTAAATTGTTATTATAGCCTTAAAATATATTTCGTTTAAATTGTTTTTTTATAATACATATATATATATATATATATATATACCTTATTTTATATTTATTTTAGTATCATTTTTTTAGTTTTAGAATAAAATACTTATAACTTAAAACCGTTTTTCTTACCATCGTTATTGTTATATAACACTGGCTAAAATATGGAGTTAGCCATTAAAAATCGGGTTAAATGAAGCGATTTTGCATCATTAGGAGAGGGTGGCTAAAATAAGATAGATCGGTGAGAAGGTGTTTAAAAATGCGTCTAAATCCTCTTTGTACTATTTTCTCGTTTTTACTTAGAGAAATACGATTCTTGTTATCTGTTAGTTTCTCAGAATAATTGAAACTTATATTAATATACATATATATATATATATTTATTTTTTTAAATTCCCCTATTTTATTTTTAAAATTTTAAATCACAAAATACTTCATTACCGAACTACATAAATAAACCACATAATATGTTAAATTTTTATCAATAATCTTGCTTCTTCATATTTTGAGTATTTTGCGAAATGTTTTCCATAGCTACCTAAGGATCAATTACCTAAGATGTCGCAATAATATTCTGCTAAAGGAGCTCTCATTACCTATATATTATATTAGTTATATTTTTATATATGGATTTCGGATGTTAAATAATTTATAAACACATAACTAATTTTAGCATCATAAGAAAAATCACTTTTATTAATAGGATGCGCTACTTATAAAATACTAGTAAATTTATGTACACCTGATAGTCCGGGAAACAATGAAGTTGAAATACGTTATATTTTAATTCCATCCAAAACCTAATATAATTGCTGAGAGATATAATTTTTATATATATATAATGAAATATTTATAAAAATATACTAGATTATATACAAAATATTCGAAAATTATCAACAATTGCTTTAAGAAATAAATCCATATTTGGACTAAAAATCCTAAAATATTGCAAAGATTACACTGTGTGACAAATTTTGACTTGATTTTTTGGGAGAAAATAAAATAAACATGTTTTAAGACATTTTTTATGCATATTCTAAATCCGCTGTCAGTTTTTTTCTAGCACGACAGGTTTTTTATTTATTTTACGGGAAAGTGGCCAAAAAGGTCATTTTTAGCACTTTTTGAAGGTTTATAACTTCGGTTCTAATGATCCCTACAACTAAAAAATTATCTTAATTTTTGCAGCAAACCTTCCTTATTATTATTATACATATTTTTTTATAAAATCCTTACTCAATTTTTAACAACCTATATTTTTTAAATTTTCCCTAATTTATAAAATCCTTTTTAATATAGTTTACATTTAAAATATTTATTTATTGTGGCTTTCGTTCTCTTCGCTACACTGCACGCGGTACGATTCCCAAACAATTTATTTTAAATGAAAGTTATATTTCTCATATTTAAATAAATATATTATGCTAAGCTAACCTATCTCATATTTTACTTATAATAAACCTTTTATCGGTCAGTTGTCCCACCCCCTCCTTCATTATTATATAGGATTTAACTTGTAATATACAATAAATTTATTGAATTTAAAACAAATTAAACAATAACATAAAATTTATCGAATTTAAAAACATTTAATGGTAAATCTAAATATATTTCCGCGAATATGAAGTTGATGATTTATCTTCAAAAAAGATGCTCCAGCAGTAGTCCGCCAACATATTTATACGATTCTTGCCGTGATAAAACTCTTCGAGATTTTCTATCTTTTGATGGAACCGCTCCCCCATTTCTTCTGAAACAGCACCTATGTTTTCTGGAAAAAAATCTTTATGGGAATGAAGAAAATGGATTTTGAGGGACATTCGGTATCCCATTTCCTTATTATTTGTTAATAGGTCATAAATTTTCTCACGATAGTCGGCTGATTTATGATTTCCTGAAGAACGATCTGCATATCCATTTAAAAGATTCCCATGCTTTTAATTCAGGCCCACTAAAATCCCCTCTTTTGGGGAAAAAATTTCTAAGGTATATCGTGGAGCCCTTGGACAATTTTTTGATAAAATTTTTATTAGTCCTAATTTTATATGCAACGGAGGCAACAAAATCTTATTTTTAGAAACAAGCGGGATATTAATGCGATTTTTTTCAAGATCGTTGGGACGATCCTCCCATTCAGATACTGTATAATGTTTTAGAGTTTCTCTGGTCCAGAGACAAAGAAAACACGAATGCTTGGTGTAGCCTAACTGAAGGCACGTCAGTATTGCGATCATAGCATATCTTAAATTCGTAAATGGAATAATTTATTTTTGACAATAAATATTTCATATTTTCATATGATTCATTTAACTGGTTGGAATAGGCGATGGGAATTGATGGCTTAGAATTTCCGTTATGAAGCAAAACTGCTTTCAAGCTGTTTTTGCTTGAAGCGATGAACAAGTGCCATTCATCGGGCACCAATTCAATATTAAATTGTAAAAAAAGTTGACCTAGATTGTAGGAATAATATAAAAAATTTTAGTAAGAGAATAAATTTTTAAACGATGCTCCACGGAATCGGTATGAAGTTCGAACTCCATTTTTGTTTATGCATAATAGATAAATGAGCCAGGGTTAAGGTAATACCTCCTAAATATGTATTATAGCGTTTAGCGAACAACTAGACAAAATTGTAAAATTCATTATCAAAACTATTCATTACATTAAAAATAACAAAACCATTCAATACATTAAGAGAAACATAATAGCAAGGGGGAGAACACTAGGTGGGATTTCTCGAACGCAGAAAACTTCAAAATAAACTAAAAATATTATAAAACTGCCAATTCATAATACATTAAAACTAATATTAAAGTTTTTCCAAAAAAAACTAAGACAAAGGAACCTAGATGAAGAAAAATGATTATAAAAATATTTCATGAGCAAAAAATATTTTACATGAACAGAGAAATATAAATCAATCAAAAATCAAAACGGCGCCTCAAAGAGAAAAGAGAAAATAATTACAATTAACATAGGCGCCGAAAATTTAGAAGGTATTAATACAAATGAATTATTTTAAGTTGAAGTTATTAAACTAGAATACCCAGATATAGCTTATGTAAATTTTAAAACCTTACAAGTAACTAAAATACAACAAATGCTGAATATAACTATATACAAAAAAATCATCTGTATATAACGTTACAAGTTTAAAAATCTAATTAAAGTAAATAAAATAAAAGTAAATATAATTTATTAGTTATGTTAAGGTATACAGACATTAAGAGCAAAAATGATTAAATTCAGCTGATGTATAATCAGGAACCATTGAAAGCTTATTAAAGCATTTTACCAATATTAAATTTCAACTATAAAATTTAATGTCATAAATGTTTAGGGGATAAAGAGTATCTTTAATTAAGAATGGACCTAGATTAATTAAGTTATTATGTAAATTGAAACATGTTTAAACAGAAAAATTCAAATTAAGAGAAACAAACTATATATTTAACTACTTCTGTATTTATATTACCATACAAATCTGATATATCATGTAAATAAATGTGAAAATATTGGTCCTATAAAAGTAAGAGGACATTATAAGTTAAAAAAAATATCCAAATTTAGCTAATATTAAGTCAAAGTATTAAGAAATATAGAATATTAAGTTTCAATACTAACTTTCAACAATAAGAAAATAATATTTATGATAACGATGAGTATTTCTATTAAAGAGGGGATATAAATTAATTAGTACCATGCAAATTAATATAATTTACAAACAAAATTACTGATTTAGAGAGACAAAACTTCTTTAAAAAAAATACAATATGA